CAAACATGATGACATAGAAGTACCAGATATGCAGCCTTGAATCTAGTAAGAGGCAGACAGGTTTTATTTGATATCTCTCTCTCTCTCTCTCTCTCTCTCTCTCTCTCTCTCTATATATATATATATATATATATATGTGTGTGTGTGTGTGTGTGTGTATATATGTATGTGTGTGTGTGTGTGTGTATATATATATATATATATATGAATAATATTTTTATTGAATTCAGAGAGGAAGAGAGAGGGAGAGAGACAGAAACATCAATGATGAGAGAGAATCATTGATTGGCTACCTCTTGCACGCCCCCTACTGGGGATCAAGCCCCCAACCCGGGCATGTGCCCTGAACTGGAATCAAACCTGGGACCCTTCAGTCCCCAGGCCGATGCTCTATCCACTGAGCAAAACCAGCTAGGTCTATTTGATCTCTTTTTTTTTTTAATATATTTTATTGATTTTTTACAGAGAGGAAGGGAGAGAGATAGAGAGTTAGAAACATCGATGAGAGAGAAACATCAATCAGCTGCCTCCTGCACATCTCCCACTGGGGATGTGCCCGCAACCCAGGTACATGCCCTTGACCGGAATTGAACCTGGGACCTCTCAGTCCGCAAGCCGACGCTCTATCCACTGAGCCAAACCGGTTTCGGCTATTTGATCTCTTTAACAGAGTGCCCTGTTCACCCTCCTCCAAGCTGATGAAGGAAGGGGTAGAGAAGGGAGAAAGAGTCACTTCAGGACTATATTATATTATGAACTTTATTATATATTGCCATTAGACATAGTTGAATAAAGTTCTATTTGGACTATATTTCAGGAAACTTAATATCCAATCTAATAATGTCTATGCAAATATATGTCCTAAATAACTGATTCATATTCACAAAATGTTAAAGATAAAAGGGAATGTAGATATAATTTATTCCAACCCTATCATTTTATAGACGAGAAAACTGAAGTCAGAGATTGTGACATTTTAGGGGCAAAATAATCTTCGAATATAAATAAGATTTCTCTAAATAAATCAAAATTATGTATTAGAAGTCAGTTTGCAATCAGTCAAAGTTAAAAATGGTTACTAATTAGTTTATGGTATAAGTCAATTAGTAAAAAACAGCCAGTGATTCCACTTGCATGAGGCAAGCAAGTGAATCCAACCACTGAAAAACTTTCTAATTAGGAAAAGATGGTAAGGTTTTGTTTAAACAGAGATATGTTATGTGCTAGGAGCTTTTCTCTTTCTGCTTGTGTTCATGGATGAAGATGCAGAGAAATTGAGGAGCAAATGGCCAGCTAAAAATGGCCCTTATTTGTTCCATCAGCCTAGAGATAGCACAGCATAAAGAAAACACATTTATTTTTATTTTTTAAAATCTTTATTGTTTAAAGCAGCGGTTCTCAACCTGTGGGTCGCGACCCCTTAGGCGGTCGAACAACCCTTTCACAGGGGTCGCCTAAGACCATCCTGCATATCAGATATTTACATTACGATTCATAACAGTAGCAACATTACAGTTATGAAGTAGCAACGAAAATAATTTTATGGTTGGGTCACAACATGAGGAACTGTATTTAAAGGGCCAGAAGGTTGAGAACCACTGGTTTAAAGTATTACAGAGGTCCCATCCTCGCCCCCCCCCGCCCCCCCCCCACACCGTCCCCTTCTATCCCACACCCGCCCCTCACCTGAGAGCTCCCCACCAATAACAATACCACATTTATCTCTCTTGCTCTCTTTTTTATCTTTCTAGTTTACCTATTAATAGCCTATCTCAAGATAAAGAAATAAAGATAAAAGATAAAAGTCAGTCAGAAATAAAATGAGCCAATGATAGGAGAAAGGTCACACAGAGAGAAAGTTCATGAAAATATGAGGAAAGGTGTTAATAATATATCCATGTCAGGGGAACTAAAATATGAAAAATACCATCTTCTTTTCAAATAGAACATTTCTCTTAAAATAAATGCAATAGATTTATTGGAGTTTCCTCCAAAAGCGAACTGTCTATATCACCACTTAGGTGATATAACAATAGATCAAACAACAGCAAACTATAGCCCTCACTGGCCAAATCCAGTCTGCTGCCTGTATTTGTAAAAAAAGTTTTATTGGAGCAGCTATAACCAGTCATTTACATATTGTCTATGGTTGCTTTTGCAATATAACAGCAGTTGATTAGTTGCAACAAAGACTGAGTGGCCTAGAAAACCTAAACTGTTTATTATCTAGTCCTTTATAGGAAATACTTAACAACCCCTGCTCTAGACCACAGCACTATCTAGCAGGGTTTTCTGTGATGACAGAAATGTTCTGATCTGCGAAATTCAATATGGTAGCTACTCGCCACATGTACTGAGTACTGAGTACTTGAAATGTGACTAGTGCAACTGAAGAATTGATTTTAAATTTAATTTTAAGTAATTAAATAAACACATGTTGGCTAGTGGCTACAGCATAAAATAGCACGCTCTACATGAAATTCCTGATTTCAAAGGTAAAGATATTATCTCTTTCTCAAGCAGCTGAACTAGGCCTAGAATTCACGTTTTCTATTATCAAACTTGGTGCTTTATCCACTAAACCAAGCTCCCCTTCTGCTACTTCCTATTGGTTGATCCCTTCCTCCCCCGCTGCCTTCCCTCTGAGGTTTGACAGTCTGTCCATGTTTCTATGTCTCTGGGTCTATTTTTTGTTCATCAGTTTATGTTCATTAGATTCCACTGAGGTGTCACCTCACACCTGTCAGAATGGCTACCATCAACAAATCAACAGTTTGACAAGTACTGGTGAGGATGTGGAGAAAAGGGAACCTTAGTGCACTGCTGGTGGGAATGCAGACTGGTGCAGCCATTATGGAAAACAGTATGGAGTTTCCTCAAAAAATTAAATATGGAATTGCCATTTGACCCAGTGATCTTACTTATAGGAAAATACCCTAAGAGACCCGAAACACCAATCAGAAAGAATGTATGCACCCCTATGTTCATAGCAGCACAATTTATAATAGCTAAGATCTAGAAACAGACCAAGTGCCCATCAGTAGGTGAATGGATAAAAAAGTTGTGGTAGCCAAGCTGGTTGTGGCTCAGAGGTTGAATGTTGACCCAGAAACCAGAAGGCCACTGGTTCAATTCCTGGTCAGGGCATATACCTGGATTGCAGGCTTGATCCCCAGTGGGGCGCATGTAGGAGGCAGCTGATCAATGATTCTCTCTCATCAATGATGTTTCTATCTCTCTCTCCCTATCCCTTCCTCACTGAAATATATAAAAATATACTTAAAAAAAAAGTTGTGGGTCCTAGCCAGTTTGGCTCAGTGGATAGAGCATCAGCCTGCGAACTGAAGGGTCCCAGGTTCGATTCTGGTCAAGGGCACATGCCCGGGTTGTGGGCTCGATCCCCAGTGTGGGGCGTGCAGGAGGCAGCCAATCAATGATTCTCTCTCATCATTGATGTTTCTCTCTCTCTGTCCCTCTTCCTTCCTCTCTGAAATCAATAAAAATATATTTTTAAAAAAAGTTATGGTACATTTACACCATGGAATACTATGTAGCAGTAAAAAAGAAGGATCTCTTACCCTTTGAGACAACATGGAGGGACCTGGAGAGTATTATGCTAAGTGAAAAAAGCAGTCAGAAAAAGACAAGTACCACATGATCTCATATGTGGAATCTAATGAACAAATAAACTGATGAAAAAAAATAGATCCAGAAACATAGAAGCATGAACAGACATGGAATCTTAGAGAGAAGGCAGGGGGTGGGAGGTGGTGGGAAGAAATCAACCAAAGAACTTGTATGCATATATGCATAACCCATGTACAAGACAATAGGGTGGTGAAGGCCTTGGGGGTGAGGGAACAGGGGCAGGATAGAAGGGGGCCAATGGGAGAAAAAAGGGGATATGTAATACTTTCAACAATAAAGATTTAATTTAAAAACTATGAAGAATTTTAAAGTCTAGATTTGAAATTCAGTGTTACTAAAAGAATAACCCTGGTAATTTTCTCTTATGATATTTTTACCACACTGCCCAATTAAGAAAAACAAAGGAGAAAAATATATAACATACCTCCAAGTAACAAGCTATTGTGTTTTTAGTCATTTCTTTGAAACCTCAAATCCACTGTGTAATTCTGAGTTAAATAAAGTCTAGCTGTCACATGTATCATCACTATAATTAGAGTTTTTATGCACAATAGCAAATCATTTAAAACCATTAAAAATAGAATGTGCCCTAACCGGTTTGGCTCAGTGGATAGAGTGTCGGCCTGCGGATTGAAGGGTCCCAGGTTCGATTCCGGTCAAGGGCATGTACCTTGGTTGCGGGCACATCCCCAGTAGGGGGTGTGCAGGAGGCAGCTGATCAATGTTTCTCTCTCATCGATGTTTCTAGCTCTCTATCCCTCTCCCTTCCTCTCTGTAAAAAACCAATAAAATATATTTTTAAAAAAATAGAATGTATTAGATTGATAGCCTGTGTTTACTCTGAACCATTTCATTTTGTTCTGATTTATATGAATTATGTGATGAAGAGACAATAGAAAAATGAGTCATTAGCAAATAGATTGATTTTTCAATCATTACACAATGTCTTTTAAAAATAATTTGTTTTAAGGAATCACTTTAGTTCTCAATTTAAAATGTCTTCATTTTCTTCACTCATTTTTCTAAAAAAGAGTAATAGGAGCCAAATCTGATGTGCACTGTACCTTTAAATGATTATTTGCAACAGCATCATGTAAGGGCAGAATTCCATCTAGATCTTCACAGTTAACATTAGCACCAGCTCTTAATAACTCCACAATTATATCGTCAGCTCCCTCACTAGATGCCTTATGTAGTGGTGTCCAACCTAAAAATGGAAAAGAGGAAAAATTAAAACAAGCTGCTGCTGACATATACTCATTATTAAGTTTGCTTGCATTAATGACATTAACATCTACATTGATTCAAATGTACATATTAGTGGAAAAAATATTGAAAACTGTGGCCTTAAAATGTGTTTCATTTTTAAAAACAAATTGATCTCATAAAAAAATATTTGATAGAGGTGCCAAAACAGAAGCATAATCATAATGGGACCAAAGTAAATATTAATCATGTCAATTTGTTTCAACTCAGATATTAAAAGATCATCTCTGACTTTTCTACTTGTATCCTTTCATTGTCACATTTTTCTTTAAAATGACATGTCATTCCATCAATTTTTTAGTTTTTCCCTCTGGAATTCCTCACACAAGATTCTTTTATGCTGAGCAAAATGTTAGATCAATTTAAAATTGGAGGTTTAAAATAAAAAATAAGGGAGGGGAGAAGAAAGGAATAGTAGAAAGACAGGAGGAAAGGAAAGAAGGAACAAGAAAGTAGGAAAAATTTTGCATTCTCTCCAAAGTTAGGGAATGGAATTAGGGCCTACAAAGAAAAGGCCTAAATAAAGTTTCCCTTACTCCCCATTCTATATACTCTTGCTGAATGCTCCCAAATGCATGTTGAAGAAGGAAGTTATTTTAGCAATTGGTGAGAACCAAGATAAGTCTTACTATTCAACTTATATGTCACTAAAGAAAATTGTTCAAAGTTAATTATTACATAGTAGTCAGATTCAAAACTGGGGTTAGGAGCTGTGAAATGTGAGTTCAAATTTTAAATACAATTAAAAGAATCCAAACCTGCATTATCTTTTAGATTCACATCTGCTCCAGATTCTATTAGAACTTTCATCAGAGACAAATCTCCTCTTCTGACAGCCAAATGAAGTGGGCTTTCCCCCCTGGTATTCCTCTTATTGATCCCAGCTGTTTTCATTTCTGTAAATTTGCCAAGTAAAACTGAGGCTTCTTTTCTGCCAAATGCTGATTATAAAGGAGCTTAAAAAATACATACCAACTTCCTCAAAACATCCTAAGTAGGATGTACCACACAGAAACATACATCTATTAATATAACTGTTACTATTTTAAAATATAACTGTAACATAGTTCTTCAACTTCTGAAGAAATTATAGTGCACTTAAGCATTACTTCAAAGTCATTCTAGCAATTCTTTAGTCACTCTATTATATGTTTGATTAAAACAAATAAACCTGTTTCAGTTCTATACTCATTTTACCCTCAGTAGTCCTTTAGTAATAATTTTTTTCTTAAAACAAATTGTGATTTTATAAAAATTCTCTTTGTTCTACAGCTATTCTCTCTATCTCAATGGGTCTATTTCTGATCACATAAGATGCCAAGAACCAAACTATGGCCTATTGGTTTTTTTATTTTTCTTTCATAAAAAATAAAGTACAGTATCATTATTTAAAGATTCTTTTTTTAATCTTTTCTTTGCAACACAAGTTAGACAGACTTATAGGTTGAAGCTAAAAATTGCAAACTAGCCCTGGCTGGTTTGGCTCAGCGTATAGAGCATCGGCCTGCGGACTGAAGGGTCCCGGGTTTGATTCCGGTCAAGGGCATGTACCTGGGTTGCGGGCACATCCCCAGTAGGGGGCGTGCAAGAGGCAGCTGAATCGATGTTTCTCTCTCATCGATGTTTCTAACTCTCTATCCCTCTCCCTTCCTCTCTGTAAAAAATCAATAAAATATATATTTAAAAAATAAATAAAAAGAAAAAAATGGCAAAATAACCACATTTCTCCCCAAACCATGCAAAAATGATAGTAAAAGATATTTTGAAAAATGTCATACAAGAACAATAAAAGAGGAAACAATAAATAGAAGACTTCAACAAATTTAGGGGAACTGGAAAGTCACTGATGGAGAAGAGTTGACTGACATGGCAGAGTGGAAAATGCTCCAACCCAAGTGCCTGCGAAAGGAATTTGCAGAGGAAGGGAGCCAATCTGAACCAGGCACTCAGCACTTGGGGGCATCAGGTGCCATGAAAGGCAGTATGTATAGAACAGGGCTGGAAAAAGCAACACTGACTGTAAAAGTATGTATATAGAAAAGTTAAGACTCCAAGTTGCCTTTCCCAACCCCAAAGTGCCTGGCAACCATTCCTCTTAGCCCAGGCCCCCATCTGGAGGTTCACTTTCTGTAGAAACTACATCAAAGAAGCTTCAGACTAAGACACAAGGCAAAGCAGAGAGTTGGGCTGATTAAACAGTAGTACTAAAAGTGGAATCCCAGATCAACAGTATCAGTTTCACTTGGGAAATGTGTTAGAAATGCAAATTCTTCAGCCATCCTAAGCCTATTCTGGAGGGCAGACTTTAAGATGGCTCCTAATGATCCTTACTTCCTCATATTTATAGTCTTGTAACAACCCCTCCTTGAGAAACTTGCTTCTAATCAATAGAATAACTTAACATTGAGGGTACTTAATTTCCTTATCTATATATATAAAAATCCAGTGGTCGTAACGCCATAACGATCAGTGCACTGCGAGATGCGCACGGGTGGGTGGGGTTGCAAGTGTGGCGGGGCAAGTGCAGGCAGGCGGGGCTGCGAGTACAGAGAGGTGCACACAGGTGGCTGGGGCCATGCAATTTCTCGCGCTGGGTTTCTAGTCTATATATATAAAAGCCTAAGCGACCGTTATGACTGGATAACTGGCTGGTAGCTATGACACGCACTGACCACCAGGGGGCAGACACTCAATGCAGGAGCTGTCCCCTGGTGGTCAGTGCGCTCCCACAGCCAACCTCCTGTGGTCCCTCCCATGGTCCCTCCCCCCAACCGGCCAACTTCCCATGAGACGGCCCTGATCGGCCCAATCACTGGACAGGTCAAGGGACCTCACCTGTGCACGAATTTGTGCACCAGGCCTCTAGTTAGGTTATAAAAGATTTTAACATATTCTGTCTTGCTAGTTGACTTCCTCTACCACCTTCAGCTTGTATGTTTTAATGAAGCAAGTGGCCACCTTGAAAGAGCCCATGAAACAAGAAACAGGATGGGCACAACCCTAAAGGAACTGAATTCTGCCAACAATCACGTGGGCTTAAAAGTGGATTCTTCCCTAGCTGAGCCTTCAGATGAGACCCCAGTCCTGGCCAACACCTTGATTGCAGCCCAGGAAAGATCCTGAGCAAAAGACCTGGCTAAGCCATGCCCTATTTCCTGACCTACAGAAACTATAAGATAATAAAGGTGTGTTGTTTTAAAATAATTTGTGATCATTTTTCATGCACTAATATATAACTAACACACCTACTGAATTAGAATTCCTGATGGTAGACCCCAGCAATGCTTTAATGGCTTTCCAGGTGACTCTGATGCAACGTAAGGTTTGAAAAGCACCGCATTAAATCATCAGATCCTTACCCAGTCCTGTTTCCTAAATGTCAGCAACCAGACATAAATTTCAGAGCAAGAGAAAAAAAAGTCTCTAATGGATGGATCCTTTGGCTATGAGAGTCACATGGAAGATTAATAGTTTCATGTTCATCTTCCATTGACATCCAGACAAAATTTCTAAATTTCTTTAGAAATTTGCACTCGGAAATTTTTTATTGGAAGAAAAAGACATATTACATATATTTCATGTGTTATATGTATATTTTTTAAAATGCAGTTTACAAGTTTGAATGGAAAAATCTCTCTCAGTAACTGTTACTGTGAATAATATAAATCTCACATTGTTCCTGGTATGTTCGTAGCAAAGAAGGTAGGCATGTGATAAACATTTTGGTGCAAAAACTCAAAAATTGCTCAATGTTACTGTCATCGTAAATTTTCCCAGCATTTAACTGAAATTTGAAAATAGCCGTAACCGGTTTGGCTCAGTTGATGGAGCATCGGCCTGCGGACTGAAAGGTCCCAGGTTCGATTCCCGTCAGGGGCATGTGCCTTGGTTGCGGGCACATCCCCAGTGGGGGGTGTGCAGGGGGCGGATGATCGATGTTTCTCTCTCATCGATGTTTCTAACTCTCTGTCCCTCTCCCTTCCTCTCTGTAAAAAATCAATAAAATATATTTAAAAAAAAAGAAATTTGAAAATAACAAAATCTGGGAGAAAATGGAAAGGAAACAAAGGGGACTTACACTAAAATTCTTTATAAAGTACACTGTAGTTAAAGCTGAGTATTTCTTAACAGCTTTATATTTAATTAAAGCATTGAGTATTAGTTGTCTATACTAATCATAGGGTAATATGCTAATTAGACTGGACATCTTTCAGACATCCTTCTGGACAAAGCCAGTGGCGGGGGCCAAGGCAGAGGTGGTTAGGGGTGATCAGGCCGGCAGGGGAGGACAGTTAGGGGCGATTAGGCCGGCAGGAGAGCAGTTAGGGGCATCAGGCCAGCAGGCAGAGGCAGTTAGGAGCCAGCGGTCCCAGATTGTGAGGGGGATGTGCAGGGATTGGGCCTAAACTGGCAGTCGGACATCCCCCGAGGGGTCCCGGATTGGAGAGGGTGAAGGCTGGGTTGAGGGACCTCCACCCGTGCATGAATTTTGTGCACTGAGCCTCTAGTTTATTAATAAAATATAATGTCATTAAGAAATACTCAGGAAGAACCAAGATGGAGGCTTAAGGTATAAACCTGTGTGTGCTGCCTCCCACAACAACACTGAAACTACTACAACTATAAGACAAAACAGCTATCATCCAGAACCATGGGAAAGCTGGCCGAGTGGAAGTTCTACAACTAGAAGGAAAGAAAGGAGCGCACTGAGACTGAGTAGGAGGTGCAAAGGCACCAAGAACAGAGGTATGAAGGCAGGCTGCAACTGGATGAGTGGTTTTTTTCAATCAGAAGGGGATACAAGCTCTCGAATGCACTGAGCTCGTTTAAGGTGAGATTCTGAGGTCCCAGACTCCTACAGGGAGAAACTGGACTGTCTTGCAGCGGGGTGGGAAAGTGAGGGTGGCTTTCTCACAGAGCTGCTCGCAGAGATCACTGTTGCTGTGGGGGCGTGGCACTCGAGGAAGCAGAGACGCAGAGACGCAGAGACGCAGAGTCAGAGTCACGGAGACTCGAGGAGTTGCGGAGACACTGACGACAACCATTGCTGTTTGCTCCGCCCTGGTGATTCTCTGAGACCCCGCCCCACTCAATTTACATCCCCACCCAAGCTGTGCCAGTGGCGCAAAGGAACCACCTGCGCTTTTGCAGCCTAACCCAACAAACTGCAGCTGGGTCAGAGAGCTCCAAAACTTCCAAATTCCAAACAAAGAGGAGAAATCTGTTGATATCGCTGTAGCTCCTGCTGGGTGGACCCACACAGTGGTTGACTTGGAGATTCAGGAGCCAGGGTACCCCTGGTCAGATACCAGATTTCAACTCCTCACATCCGTAAGGGACACACTCAAGAAGCAGACTCAGTGAGCACCAAAGCCCCACTGAAGCAAGTCCTGCTCCATAAGGGTGTCTCCAGCACAGCAGTTCTTCCACTATAGACACAACAGGTCCTCACAGTCAGCCAAAAATGTGGAGACAAAGAAACATGTCACAAATGAAAGAAATGGAGGAAAGCAAACTAATGAAGGACATAGAGTTCAAAACCACAGTTATAAGGTTACTCAAGAATCTTCTACAAACCTCCGAGAAACTTAGTGAGACCACCGAGGAACTTAGTGAGACCTTCAAGGATCTTAATGAGAATGCCAAAAAAAATGGAAAAGGACCAGTCAGAAATTAAACATACACTGACTGACATTAAAAATAAAATACAGAGATCCAACAGCAGACTAGAGGATCCCAAGAATCAAGTCAAAGATTTGAAATATGAAGAAGATAAAAACACCCATCCCGAAAAGCAAAACGAAAAAAGAATCCAAAAATATGAAGATAGTGTAAGGAGCCTCTGGGACAACTTCAAACATACCAACATCCGAATTAGCAGGGTGCCAGAAGAAGAGAGAGAGCAAGATACTGAAAGCATATTAGAAGAAATCATGACAGGAAACTTCCCCTACCTGATGAAAGAAATAGACTTACAAGTCCAGGAAGCACAGAGAACCCCAAACAAAAGGAATCCAAAGAGGACCACACCAAGACACATCATAATTAAAATGCCAAGAGCTAAGGACAAAGAGAGAATCTTAAAAGCAGCAAGAGAAAAAAAGTTAGTTACCTACAAGGGAGTACCCATACGACTGTCAGCTGATTTCTCAACAGAAACCATGCAGGCCAGAAGGGAGTGGCAAGAAATATTCAAAGTGATGAATAGCAAGAATCTACAACCAAGATTACTCTACCCAGCAAAGCTATCATGTAGAATTGAAGGTCAGATAAAGAGCTTCACAGACAAGAAAAAGCTTAAGGAGATCATCACCATCAAACCAGGAATATATGAAATGCTAAAGGATATTCTTTAAGAAGAGGAAGAAGAAAAAGGTAAAGATAAAAATTATGAACAACAAAGTGACAACAAATAAATACCTATCAACAAGTGAACCTAAAATTAAGTCAGAATAAACTGGTGAATATAATAGAAGCAGGGGCATAGAAAGGGAGTGGACTGACAATTCTTGCGGGGAAAGGGGTGTGGGGAGTGCAGGAAGAGACTGGACAAAAATCTTACACCTATGGATGAGGACAGTGGCAGGGGGTAAGAGCATGGGGTGGGATGGGAACCAGGCGGAGGGGAGATATGCGGAAAAAAGAGGAACATCTGTAATAATCTGAACAATAAAGATTTATTAACTTAAAAAAATAAAAAAATAAAAGAACAACCACAATAGAAAAAAGAAAAGAAAAAGAAATACTCAGCTGGTCCTGGCCCGTGTAGCTCAGTGGTTTAGAGCATCGTCACGTGCACCGAAGGATCTCAGCTTCGATTCCCAGTCAGGGCACATATTCAGGTTAGAGGTTCAATTCTCAGTTGGAATGTGTACAGAGAACAACTGATCAATGTTCCTCTTTCATATCAATGTTTCTCTCTCTTTCACCTGCCCTTCCTTTCTCTCTAGAATCAATAAAAAACATATCCTCGGATGAGAACAAAAAAAAAAAGAAAAAAATACTCAGCTATCTACCTTTTTATGCGGCCTGTCTTTCCTCTCTAGATTTTTGGATCTTCTCATTTTTGTTCGGAAATTTCACAGTGAGATGTCTTGCTTATGGTACTGGACACTTTGTGGGCCCTTTCAATATGGAAACTTCTGTGCTTTATTTCTTATCTTATTTCTTTGATTTCTTTTCTATTTTCACTGTTCTCTCTGGATATCCTGGAGTGATCTAATTTTATTCTCTTTATTTTTTCTATTTTTATTTTTTATAGGAGACTTGGAAAGCTTTACCTCCCAACTCTGCTATATCCACATATATATATACTTAAAAATCCTGCTATTATATTTTTAATATCTAAGGGCTCTCCGTATTGTTCTTCATTCCTTTGTTTCTATGCCTTTATAAGCAAGTTTAATATATCCTGATTCTTGAATTATTTGTTTCTTCTGGGTTCCTTTAGTATGTTTAGATCTCTTTGATGTCTCTTTTATATTGGAGTATTGGGGTTTTCTACAAACACTTGTTGATTTTTGGCTATCTGTTCTTATTTAAGTGAGAGAAACTAAAATGCTGACTGGAAATCTGTGAAGGGTAAAGGGAGTACAGCAGAGCTCAGGGCTTGGTTGAATTCACCCTTGGTGATCAAGAAGTAAGCTGGCCTTTGTGTTAGGGAATTGCCAGATGTATTTGGAATTATCTCCTCTTGGGCAGTTCAATTTATTAGTTTAAAGATACTTACTCAGGCACTGTGTTAAAAAACAAAACAAACAAACAAAAAAACACCAGAGATGAAACACAAAAGAAATGTATTATTTCAAAGTTCTGGAGATCAGAAGTCTAAAACCTAGGTGTCAGCAGGGCTACACTCTCTAAGAAAGAATCAGCATTTCTTGGCTTCCTTGGATTTGGCTACATCGCTCCACTACCTCCATCTTCACATTGTCTTCTCTCCTGTGTGCCTCAAATCTCCTTCTGTTTTTCTTTTATAAAGACACAGTAGTAATTAGATCCAGGACCCACCAAAGAATCCAGGATGATCTCCTCATCTTAAGATCTTAATTACATCTGCAAAGTTTTTTTCTAAATATTCACTCTTTTATGTAACACTAGAGGCCTGGTGCACAGATGCGTGCACTGGTGGGGTCCCTCAGCCTTGGCCTGTGGGGACTGGGCCGAAACCAGCAGTCTGACATCCCCCAAGGTCCCAGACTACAAGAGGTGCAAATCCATGCACCGGGCCTCTAGTATGCATATAAGATCTTTGGTTAATCTCTTCCTGCCCTCCCTCCTCCCCCCTTCCCACTGAGATTCATCAGTCTGTTCCATGTTTCCATGCCTGTATGTTGAGCGTCTGCCCCCTGGTGGTCAGTGTGCATCATAGCTACCGGTTGAACGGTCATTTAGGCTTTTATAATATAGATAGATAATAGCACAGATTCCAGGGCTTAGGGCATGGACACATTTTGCAGAGCCACCATTTAACTCACTACAGGAGGAATATATAAGAAGGGATTCAGTTTACATGAGACAGGACAATGGGAGAAGGTTTACAGAAAATGCCTAATCCAGTGTTCGTCCTACCACTAGTATACTAAACAGAAAATAAATCAACTTTTTAATGCTTAGTATTCAATTCGAAGTGGTCCAGCCCATTGTTCATCACAGAACTAACTCCAAGAACTATCAAAGGGTAGTTAGCTTGTCCATACTTCCAAATACATACAGTTCATTCATATGACACCAAAAAACTAGTGGCTATGCTTTTTTAATGTTTGTTATGTTAAAAGGGCTCGGTGGAAGTATCAGAGATGAGACACAGTTCACCCACAATGTCCACACTCAATATTCTTGCTGTTTATCTCCTCTAAAATAACAAATTAGAAGTCAGAGGCAGAAATATCATAAGAATATATCTGAAGACTAATAAATTCTCAAGTGTTGCTTTACAGTAAAACCATCTAAAATATCGTTGAAATAATCTTATAATATAGTGAATGACAAAAAAATAAACAAGTAAATCTGAAAGTTTAGAACTATTCTGAAATACAGTGGATTCCTGGGCCTGGCCAGGTAAACATTTACTTATACAAGTAAAGGAATACAAACCTTGGCTGCAGGTAGCTTTTGATAAATTTTGTTCTTGGATGTTAACAGGTATGTGAATCTCTGTATCTGTTCTATCTTTTTTCTCCTCACAATTTCTTACAGTGCTTTCATCTCCACTGATATTATTAGTTAATTCCTCATCTGAAAAACAAACATTTCTGCAGTATCAGTGTGGCAATTCTCCTTATTGGTTAAATGACTAGTCATATAACTATTCCAAGTTTCTATTCCTAGCTGGAAGAATTTAGAAATGGTTTTATATAACTAATGTAAATTAGTTTGCTAAATGCAATTCTGATGGGAATACAGTGAATTGTTGAAATCACTGGAGCTAACAATTTCCTGCTGTAAAAATGTTAAGTTTATTGATACTAAGATAAGTCTATACTAAAAATGAATATAATAATTGATATAAATACTGTTACTTCTGTCAATATCAATTTAGCAACAATCTTTGATAATAATGGTTGAACTTTTAAAGTAAACACGATTACTTAAATAATTAGCAGCATCCCCCAAATTATAGCCCTCATGTCCTCATTCTTGTCAGTTTGGGCATAGGTTGAGTGAAATTCAGTTGGAAACTTCTATAAAATAAGTAAATCTATAGGAAATGTGTACAAATCTAGCAATACTACTAATACCTGGTTTATGAGAAATTTCCTTCTCTTCTCTTTGACTAACTTGTGAGATGTTGGTCAATTTTTTATTCATATTGTCAATGGAATGAAAATCTCTATTATGTATGATTTCACTCTCTGCAAGGTCTTGTCTCCTTTTTTCAACGTTAGTTGTTTCTATTACTTGAGAATGAACAACTGTGGATAAAGGCCCATTTGAAAAATTTGGTTTTTGGCCTTTGTCAGTGTAATTCCTTTTAGTGCCTTCTTTCTTATTCACCTTTTCCACAATATGTGTATTTGTTTGATTCATTAAAGAAGTTGGTATGCTGGGGCTACTGCAATCCTGAGGCCTTTGGAATTGCTCCACATTAGTCAACTGCAAAACGTCATGTGTTGAAATTGTTCTTGTACAAGCCAAGGAAGTACGCTCAGGACTGTCTTGTGAGTGAACAAAAGAAGTTCCATATATGTATTGTTCATAATTTGCAACGTGTGGTTCAGAAACGGCTGTATTATCTGAATTAGAAAAATTAACAGCCTCCTGTTGTGGAAGTATGCTTAGGCCACCTGCTTTTAACTTATTGTCCTGTGAAAAATGGTCTTTAGAAGGTAAAGACTGTTCAAAATCCATTACTTCTCTATTTGTTATATTCTCTTTATCATTATAGTGGTTTTTGCAACTTGTAGAACATATCATCTTTTTAGACATTATGGTCTCTTCAGAGGTACAGCAATCAACATGAATATCATTATTAAAATTTTCCCACTTATTAAGGTCCTCTTTTTTTTCATCTGAGTTAGTGTTTACATGAGATTTATAAGGACTAATGTGCTGTTGTTCTTGGTGAGTTTGAGCCTGCTGATCTGTAGTAACAATGGGTAATTCGATTTCTTTATGTACAAAAAGTCCTGAGAAAGTAACAGCTTTAGCTTGGTCACTGGATTCTAATTCCAAGGATTTTATTTCTTGACTTTCTAATAAATCCAGGCTCTGGGTATGTGTCTCTTTGGGAACTGAATGAGTGTCAATATTGTTACTTAATCCATTTTCCAGGCTTGACAGAGCTGGGCTAAAAGGTTTACATGACTCTTCTGGAAGGTCATAAAGGGTTTGGAGAATATGCTGCTGATCAGTAACCAATCTACTTCTTCTGGAAGAAGACACAGCTACAGTCTTTCTTGAGTTTCTTTCTTGGATTGCCTTATGCACCTGAGTCCTTTTACATCGTTCATTTCTTCTTCCTTTATGTTTAGACGCATTTGTGCTGGAATCCTTGACATTATGGAGATTGTTTTTTCTGAGTCCTGTAGAGTATATTTGGTTAACAGTTGATTGCTTATGCTTGAAGTTGCCAAATTTCGTGCTTTTGGAATTTCTTGGGTAATGTTCATTTACATCTTCTTTCTTTATAAATAAACCTTTTTTGCTTCCTTTATCAACTTTTATATGTTCTGGCTTCTGTCTGTTGGAATTTTCATCACAAACAAACCCAATGCAATTTTTAGAACTGAATTTTGGTTTCTATAGAAACAAAATATATAGTTAGCTTTAATTTTCAGCTGTAGTTCTATACTCGATTCATTCTGGATTGTTCATAAATTAAACTATTATTCCATTTAATTTTATAATTTGATCTAATCACAGGGCCTGCTGAGATATATAAAACCTCATTCTTCAGAAAAAGTAGACTAATGGAAGAAAGGCAAATATAATAGACTCAGTGTGTGTACTAATCTTTATTTTCTGCTGTACATTTCAATTTTTGCCAATATTTTAGCACTACCAATCTTACTAAATATAATTTAAAAATCTTAATCTACTTAATATTTATAGGCTCTCGAAATAAATCAGATAAAAGTTTCCTTGTAAAGGAAACTTAAGAATTTTTTAGAAACACTCTTCTTTCCCAATTATTATACAGATAGAGCTAGAATTAAGAGAGTTTCTTCCTCTGGTATCTGAGAGACCGTAGGTAGGGCAGCAGCAGAAGGATTTTAAAAACAAGAAGACATATATGCTCCCAAATTGGTCTGCATGGAAAGATTATTGTGGGCTGCTAAGATTAAAACAGGAACAATGCTTCCTGCTTTCTGTCACTCATCACAACCCAAGCACCAGATGAAGAGTAACTGCCCACCATGTAAAGTTCAAAGGGATAGATTGACGCCTTTGACTCTTGTACTGTGTTTAGGCCAGAGGAAATTTGACATGGTTGATAACCCTAATGGCTCCATGAAGAGGAGGTAAAAGGAAATGTCTACCAATACATTAGTGTGCCCAGATATGCTACATTTACTGCTTCCCAAATTAACAGCCTAGAACCCCCTGATTCTCATATAATTATTCCAAAGTATCTTAAAAGCAAAGGTGAAGTCACTGTTCCTGATGCATGCTTCAGTAACTTTTTTTTCCTCTTTGATGATGCATTCTAAAAAAATGGTCTTTTGCTAAACAGAGATATACCTTTGGCTGGGGTGCATCCTCTACATCTAATGGATCAGTGCTATCCTTTTGAGCTGTAAACAAAAAGAGAAAAATCAAAGAACACAGCCTCCAGTGGCCAGACTCAGGACTCCTAAAACACACAAATCCCTTGCTATGAGAAAACTAGGTAGATTAAGGAAAATTATGCAAACATTTTCTATTAAGATTGGCATAATCTTACATAATATTACTATAATTTCCATATGTATCAGAAACCAAAAGCTATCTTGAGAGAGAGCTGAGAAAATTTCTGTGAGTAAAGCAAAATTGACCTTAAAAATTAACTAAAGACAGACACTAAACTCAGTATTTTTATATTCTCCACAGATATATCTAGATATTTAACTGTGTAAAACCTATTCTTATAAAGCAAAAAATTATTTCATAATTAATTGAATTATCATTTCCTGATATGTTTGCTTAATAAAGTTCAGTCTGTTTCTCTTGTTTTCCAGTGAGATTAGGCTACCAGAAAGAAGTCTTTTGCTCTAAAGAACTTATTAATTGCCTCTAGGTGGCTTTTATCAATGAAGTTATTTCTTTACTATAAAAATAGAGTACTTTGATCCAGATCTTAGTCCTTAGTCAATGACATTCAACAATTAGCTCTTGAGAAAATTACACACATATTATCTTTTGAGTGGAAAGAATTTGTTTTGTGTTTTTTTCAAAGGACTGATACTAATTATTCAACAAAAATTTACTGAATGCCTACTATGTATATGGTACTCTAGTATTCATTACTAGACAAAATAAACATCCTTTCCTTCATGGAGCTTAGATTCTAATGGGGGAAGACCAAAAATAAAAAATAAGCAATTGTCCAATGTGTAAGATGGTGTTAAGTACCAGGAGAAAAGGATAAATATTAGTACAGTAGGGTAAGAGGGATTGAAATGTGGTAGTTCTAAAAACATGTTCATAAAATTTTTGATACCCTTCCATTCAAGAGGTGGAGCTTAATTTTGTTCCCCCTGAGTGTGAGCCAAACTTAAGAGACTCACCTCTAACAAGTAAATATAGCAGAAGTTATTCTATATCAATTCCAAGATTAGGTTGTAAAAAGCCTGTGGCTTTTGTCTTGGGTGCATTCTCTCCTGGAGTATAGTACTTTCTCTGAGCCAGCTTTTAGGTCATCAGCAGCCCTGGAAAAGCTCAATTGGCAAGTAACTGAAGGCACCAGCTGACAACCAGGGCAGGAAAATCCAGTTTTTGTTTGTTTATTTGTTTGTTTTTACATAAAGAGTCTTTTTAAAAAAACAAATACCTTCATTTATTTCTGTTCTGGATCCATGAGAACTTTTTTTTATTTTATTGATTTTTTGCAGAGAGGAAGGGAGAGGGATAGAGAGTTAGAAACATCGATCAGCTGCCTCCTGCACACTCCCCACTGGGTATGTGGCCGCAACCAAGGTACATGCCCTTGACCGGAATCGAACCTGGGACCCTTCAGTCCGCAGGCCGACGCCCTATTTACTGAGCCAAACCAGTTAGGGCTACATATAGAGTCTTAAAAGAGAGAGGAAATTAAAGCCCCTTCTTGTTTCCGGATTCTCTTAGAAACTGTGCCTATTAGGTGGCTCCTAGAATATATTTTTCTTACAAAAATAAATAAATTATATGACAGATGTATTAAGGAGAACATCAAGAATATGCCATATACTTTTGAACCTCAGAGGGAAGGCAGGGGAGGGTGGGTGGGAAGAGAATAGCCAATGAACTTGTATGCATATATGTATAACCAGTGGACACAGACAATGGGGTGGTGAGGGCCTGGGGGGAGGGGGGAGAATGGGAAAGGACTGGAAGAGGTTACTGGGGGGGGAAAGGAGGGCCTATGTAATACTTTCAACAATAAAGATTTTTTTAAAAAAATAAATTTTAAAAAGAAGTATGTATTTAGTAATCTAATAAATTCAGAATATCTTAAGGGAAAAAAAAAGAATATGCCATATATATATAATCTTGTTATTGACAACTGCAGAACCATTTTTTTTTTGTAGTTTAATTTAAAAGTGTAATGGATGAGAGGGCAAAAGTATAGTCATAAGAAAAGATTCTTAGGGAATGGAAATAAACAATGTTGGCTATATTCATTGATAAAGATACAGCCAAATATAATTTACATCACATCATGCTATTCAGCCAAAGGATTATGGAGAGTGTCAGAATTTTATAGAAGTTTTCTTAACTGTCTGTAATGTACAATCTTGGGAAAAGTACATTTGCTATTATCATTCTTTGTCCTTTTAGAGTCCTTCATTTATATGCATTAGCAAACAAGTGAGTTTATTAAAGGAATAGAGCCAGGCCTCAGGTGGTGTGGCTCAGTTGGTTGGAGCATCATCTTGTGCACCAAAGGATCGTGGGCTCAATTCCCAGTCAGGGCACATACCCAGGTTGCAGGTTCAATCCCAGGTCAGGGAGTACCAGAAGGCAAACAATCCATGTATCTCTCTCACGTCGATGTTTTTCTCTCTCTTCCTTCCTCTCTCTCTAGAATCAATGAAAAACATATCCTTGGGTGAGGATTAATATATATATATATTTTTTTTTTAAAAAAAGAATGGAGCAAGGACACCATTGGGTGGATTTTCTCAAAATGTATAAGGAAAATGAATTTAATTTCTATAATTTTAAATTAAATTTCTGTAATTCTCTACTGACATGGTGAACAGATATAACAAGGCAGTTTAATCTTACCTGAAGTAAGATGTTTTTGATGTTTAGGAACATATCTCTCAAGAAGATGCCTCATACGTATACCTTGGGCCACATCCAAAGCACACTTTCCATTGGCATTTCTAAATAATGGATCAGCTCCATTGAAAAGAAGTAACTCTGCCACCTAGAGGAAGATTGTTCAAATGAGGGAACATGTACAAAAGGTACATTATTGTAAATGTGTGCTAGCATACAACTCTAAGCAACATCAAATATTTCTTCCAACAATACAAAGTTTGGGTTTACCTATAATATCTTGCCCAATAAAAAATTTAATATAATTGCTACTGAACCATAATTTGTTGATATGCATATCACTTTTCTTACAAAAAATTAGGGAGGAAGGGAGGGAGGAGAGGAGAGGAAGGAGAAAAAGAAAGAAGGTAAGAATAGAAAAAAAGAAGGGAGGGAGGAAGGGAAATATCTGCATTTCAGCTGCTCCTGAAATGGGGCTAGAATATACCAAGAATGAGGACTGGGTTCTGTAGTAGTAAATGTTAGTGTAACAGGCTCCAGGAGATAGTTGTCTTCCACCTATATCTGTGATGCTGCTGTTCTCCTCAGTGTGTCAGGGAGAAACTGGTCAATCTTAATCTGTTACTATCCTTAAGGAACCTCTTCTGTGAAGCTCTTTCTGACCTCCTTCTCCACTGCTGTCCTAGAGAAAAATAAGCTCTCCCTTCTTTCATGTATATATTTTATCTTAGTGCCCAATATACTCTATATTATACTTATTTCTTTTCTAAAAAACATATTTTTATTGACTTCAGAGAGGAAGGGAGAGGAAGAGAGAAAAGCATCAATGATAAGAAAGAATCATTGATGGGCTGTCTCCTGCACGCTCCCCACTGGGGATTGAGCCCGCAACCCCAGGCCTGTGCCCGGACCAGAAATAGAACCGTGACCTCCTGGTTTATAGGTTGACGCTCAACCTCTGAGCCACGCCGGCCGGGCTATTTCTTATATATCTGTCTAAGTTTTTAAAAGGTGGGACTATGTTTTTCTTTTAAAATTAATTTATTATGCCAGGCAGCATAGCCATAGTCCTTCAGCCAACAGCTTCGTGTTGCCAGAGGAGGGCAGGGGTGCATGTGACTGTCACCTGCTGTGTGAAGGGGGTGCCTCCGGCAGCCAAGGGCAAGGAACAGGGACTCCCTGGCCTGGGGGCCACTGCTCCCACTTTCTCTTCATAGTCATCCTGACTTGCACAATGAGTGCCAACAAGGATCAGCAGATGGAACTGAAAACATTACATTCTATATATGAAGGAGATGAAAGTTTTGGGGAATTAAGTCCAGTTTCATTTCAATATGGGGAGAAAATAGTGATCCCAAAGCTTTTTAAGCTTTGGATCTTAATAGAGATTTCACGGACAGATACATACCCCAAACACCTCCAATTATATCTATGAATGATTTTTTCTAACACCACCATATCCTCAGTTGTAAAGCAGAGCATATTAGCCAAGTTACAGGAAGCAGTGGAGGTCAATCTCGGCACCACTGTGACCTGCACGTTGTTCAAATATGCCAAGAACAATAAAGAATCATGGAGAATCACCATCCCGTTAATTCTACAGCATCCATAAGCAATATCACCTCAGTTGAAACTCCTAATAAAGTCCCATCAAGTAAGAAAAAAGACAAAAGAGAACAACTTTCAAAAGCTCAGAAATGTAAGTTGGCAGATAAAACAGATGACAAAGGAGAACTTCCTCCAGGAAATTCTATCTCCAGGATGAGTTGATGTGGTGAAGCATTTAAGCAAAACTGGCTCTTAAGGTGAAAACACCACTTGGAATTAGAAACAAGGGAAGAACATCCTTTAAAAAGTAAACTGGGTTCAAAATCTCTCATTACTCTTTTATAAAACAATTTTTGTATGTTTCTTTTTTTGTTTTTGTTTATATATATATATATATGTGTGTGTGTGTGTGTGTGTGTGTGTGTATATATATATATTTTTTTATTGCTTAAAGTATTACAAAGGGTATTACATATGTGTCCTTTTTTTCCCCCGCCCTTGACAATCCCCTGGCCTCTTATGTAAAAATGTTTTAACCTGAAAATTCATGAAGAGACTTGGTTGTATTAAATTATTTTCACAAACTTGCCGTAACAAAAGGTGAAAATGTTACTGTTTAGTATACTTTGGAAGCCTTTTCAGCTTTGTCAATGGACAAATATGGAGGATAATGAGTAACTAATGTTAATTTATACCATCTTATTCTAGTGGATGTGATAATTTTTTAAAGAAGTATGAAAACCTTTTTTAAAAAACTGTCCCAGTGGGATAGAATACTGAGTGGACAATTATTCCACAGCATAATCCATATTAGGTGGCTTCTTGTCTTAATAAAGTGTTCATCTCTTCTTTCTCTTAATTACTGAGGCACAAATTGCTTCAGAGAAATTTAAATACTAGTATTTGAGCTTTACACATAATATTATTTGTAGTTTCTTTTAAATTTCCATTGGTGAACTGCTTCTCTTTAATAAATGAATACTTGTTTATAATTTTCTCTTGGCTTGGGTCACAATGTTTGATCATGAAAGCTTTCCATGGTATGTGGAATAGGAGAATATAAAACAAATCTGCCAAATACATTAGAAAGCATCTGAATAGAAGTGCTGATTCCTATTTAAAACATTTCTCTTCACTGCACACCAAGATGGGAGTAAAAGATGCCTTAACATTTAATTTTTGTACAGTTGGAGCCTTTTTTTGCATACAACAGAACTTTATTAATAATGTTCACAGAATGTACTCTTATTCTGGCTAATCATCTTGAAAATTTGCAAATACTTTTCCATCTGGAAAAAAAAAAAGAACCCAAAAACCCACCCTGGATTAATTTGCATTAAGGTCAGGCTTATAGAAGACAATGGTTTTAATAAATTTCTACTTATCTGCTATTATGTATTTTTAGTTGTTTGATAACTGATGTCTTCTAAATGATTTAAAATAAAAAAACACATTTCAAGTTTTGTTTCTTTTCAAATGTCCAAAGGTATTTCTCAATCTGAGCATCTTTATAATAGACAGAAATATTTCAAATGCCAAACTGTACTACATGCTTGATTTTTTAATGATTAATAGAGAAAACTATTAGTGCAGTTTTATCAAGGAGTTACTAATGTCTTTGTGTGATTTACAGAGATTCTGTATCTGCTCCATAGTCTGTAAGAAGTGGTTTAAACTTCATAATGTAATAGAATAGATCATCAAATTTTGTAAGAGAGCTCACTCCAGACACACATGGAATGAATAATCATCATGTGTAAGGAATATCTTTTCAATATATGTGAATCCCAATACCACTGTCAACCAATCTCATACACACATATACCTCAGGACACTTTATGAAATAAAAGCTTTGTTAAAATCATGACAGCTTACATCCACTCGCCATGCCATTTCTTTTACCGACTAACAAAGTAAGCCTAATGAAAGAGGAATCAAGGTTTATCTGATATAACTTGTTCTTAGTGATGCCTAAGATTTTCAAAGACCACTATCTTCTTGTCTAAATGTCTCCTACCATCTGTTAAATGATTTGTTCCAGATTTTTCTAAGGAACCACAGTGAACTGATCTGTAATTCTCAAATTTTATCTTTTCCTCATTTAAAAAATGTATTTTTGAATGTATTTTATTGATATAGAATTCACATGACACTCAATTCATGTAAAGAATACAATCAGCCCTGGCTGGTTTGGCTCAATGGACAGAGCATCTGCCTGGGGACTGAGGGGTCCTGGGTTCGATTCCAGTCAAGGGCACATGCCCAGGTTGCAGGTTCGATCCCAGTGGGGGGCATGCCAGAGGCAGCTGATCAATGATTCTCTCTCATCATTGATGTTTTTTCTCTCTTTCTCTCCCTCTTCCTCTCTGAACTCAATAAAAATCTATTTTTAAAAAAAGAATACAATCAATGTTTTAAGTATGTTAAGAGGGTTGTGTAAACATAACCATAACCTTATTTTGGAACATTTTCATTCCCCTTAAAAGAAGCCTTTAACCATGATCTATCAATTCACTTTTCCCCACCGTCTACCTCCCATTCCTAATCTTCTTTCTGTATCTATACAGTTGGTCTATTATAGATATTTTTTTTAAATCATACAATAGGTGTTGATGGCTTTTTCACTTTTTAAAAATATTATCTTCTAGTATCTCCTATTTTTTTTTTTAGTATCTTTCCAACATATAGTCAATGCCTGTGGGACAATACATTCAAGTTTCTTCAACTCTGGAATGTTTAAGAAGCTCACCCTCTCCAGCTTCTGGGTCCAGAATCAGGTTCCCAGGGCTCCCCTATCTGACATCTTTAGTCCTGTCACATCTAAAATATATGAGCAATCCAATACCTAGGGCCTGTGCCATTTTTTTCGAATCATCTTTGCCTCACCTATGAGATTCCCTGAGGTAAGCCTAGATCCTCATCTTATGCTCTCACAATTCCTACTCTACCCTCCAACACAATTTCCTGTCCCACTTTGATTCTCAAGGCTTTGGTTCTTAAGTCAGTCCAGAACAAAGCTGGAGTTTTATACTTCACCCAAGAGAGACTGGGTGAAGAAACTTGTTGGCTTACCCCAGATAAACTGGAGGGGAGGGTAAAAAGCAGACAGACTGTGACTTCACCCCACCCTATTAGGTTTTAGCTTTTAATTCTCATGACCCTTCTCTAGATTTGTACTCCTTGTCATTCTCTTTTATCTGGCCATCAATCAGGATATGCCATGGTGCCAGGAACACACGAGACATGGAACACAGGAGTTGGCAAAAGGGAAAGTGGTAAGTAGTGAGCTTGTGTCTTTGGTCCTTTCTACTTCACTGAGGGAACAAGACAAGGTTACATATCTGCAAAGGCTAGCGGGAGATAGCTAATTCTAGCTTGTGATGTGGAAATTAACTGAAGACTCATCACCAGGTACAGCAAAGGAAGAACTGTGAAAGAAAAGAGCTCACATTGCCCAAAAGGAGAAAAGATTCCTCACCAGAAAATGTCAGCCCTGGCAAGAGGAGAAGAAAGAAGTGCTTTGGCATTAAGTTTTCACTGCTGGAGGGCAGCTGTGAAGAGGGGGTAAAGGGCAGAGAGAGGGTGCATACCATTACCTGTCTAAACCTGTATTCTGCTAGCCATTAAATTAGGTCCCAGGCAGAATTCTTTCCTCCCAGCCCTCTACACAATGTTCAGAAATGATCACTTACTAGCAGGTGATACATTATCCAAAAAAGCAAAACTACCCAAAGCACTGTTTCACACTAGGAAGAAATAGGCCTATCTATCTATGACCATAGCTCCCAGCAGCCTTCCACAGCTCTGTTAGGCATTTCTTCTGAAGGTATACAGAACAGATCTTCCTGAGCCCCGTTGTTAGCCCTCTTTCCTATCCTAGGAGTTTTGAACCCAGGGGGAATTTCAATACTGAAATAAATAACAAGATATTTTCAGTAAGTGCCTCAGCCCTGTAAATGCAGTGCCTGAACATCAACAACAAAAGTCAAGAAAGCTCAGAGCATATTCAATTTCTGAAATAAACTATGTGTGCTAGAAATCATAATCTTTATTAATATTATCCATTATTACAGTTACTATTAATCAACTCATATGGAATTACAATATTTTGATATTTAACCAAATATCACTTATGCTGGCATGTATTGACTGATCACTAAACCTATGGAGGTTCTCATGTCTTATGCCAACTCTGAAACTGATACTAGACTCCATAAAACGATATGCCTCCTATCAGGACTGGACATCATCATGTAACACTTTATAGAAGGAAACATTCTCTTGAAGCTTATAAAGCACCATACAAAATGAGTCTAAAAATGCCCAGCTGGCATGGCTTAGTGGTTGAGCATTGACTTATGAACCAGGAGGTCATGGTTCAATTCCTAAAGACACATGCCCGGGGTTGCAGGCTCGATCCCCAGTGGGGGGCATGCAGGAGGCAGCCAATCAATGATTCTCTCTCATCATTGATGTGTCTATCTTTCTCTCTCCCTGTCCCTTCCTCTCTTAAATCAATAAAAACATATTTTTTAAAAAGAGTCTAAAAGAAGTACAAGTTTAAAAAAATATTATATATAAACCAAAAATGTTCTAAAGTTATTCAGAATTACACATAGCCCAGCCGACATGGCTTACTGGTTGAGCTTTGACCTATGAACCAGGAGGTCACAGTTCGATTCCCAAAGCCACATGCCTGGGTTTCGGGCTGGATCCCCAGTATGGGGCGTGTAGGAAGCAGCCAATCAATGATTCTCTCTCATTATTGATGTTTCCATCTCTCTTTCCTTCTCCCTTCCTCTCTGAAATCAATAAAAAAAATTTTTTAAGTTACATGTAAAATGTCACCTACCATATTAGGGACAATAAATCCATACACAGTAAAATTTTAGAATAATTTTGAATACTGATTAGCAGAATGATCTAAAATAATTCCTATTTTCCTACTGCTTGGTGCCAGAGCTTTTTAAGATTTGCAGAATGTAGCATTTGCTCCACAAACACAAGCATCACAGTACCTTATAATGTCCACTCATCACAGCATCATGTAGGGGAGTGATTTGGTCTTTTCCTTTGACATTTACATCTGCTCCACCTTTTACTAGTTCACTTGCTGTCTCATAAAATCCCCTTGCACTAGCTTCATGAAGTGCTGTCCAACCTATTATACAAAAAGAAAATGGTACTTGTTTATATTTGGCATCTTAATACATCTTAATAATGTTTTGTGCTTAGCCTTAAAATAAAAACTCAAATTCTAAGCTGTTTCTTTTTTTATTGTTTTATTGCTTAAAGTATTACAAAGAGTATTACATATGTCTCCTTTTTTCTAAGCTGTTTCTTTAAAAAATATTTTTATTATACGAGATAAGATAATCTCACCATGAAAACAACCTGTATTATTTGGTGAATTCAAAAAATCTGAGGGACAAATCAAATTTCTACCCCAACTTTGTTGCAGAAAAATATAAAAGAAGTAAAGTATTTAAAACTACTCCTGCCTTCTTCAAATAAACAGGCTGTAAGGAGGGTGGGGTGTCATTATTAGCTCAGAAAAAAATGTTAGCTGCAGGCTACTTTTCTGCAAAAAAGAGGGGAGAAAAGCTTTATTTCTAGCTCAAGGTACTTCCATTAAAGTAACCCAACTGGCAGGACTACATAGAACCAGTTTAAAATTATATGTTTCTTTTCTCCTTATTTGCAAAAAGCTATTCAAGGTAGTTCAATTAACAATCCACAAACTACTCCAAGAAAACCATTCATCCAGATGAATGTTCTTTTTCTCTGTTAGCCAGAGACAATGGTATAGGTTATAGAGATTTATTAAATTCCATATGATTGATGTAAGAAAATCTAAAAGTTGCATGTTAAAGATGTATTTCAGCTCTGGCTGGTTGCTTAGGGGTTAGAACATCAGCCCACAGATCAAAGGGTCTCGAGTTGGGACTCCCGGTCAAGGACACATACCTCATACCTTGGTTGCAGGTTCCCCAGCCCCTATAGGGGTGCATGCGGGAGGCAACCAATTGATGTCTCTCACGATGTTTTTCTCTCTCTCTCTCTCTCTCTCTCTCTCTCTCTCTCTCTCTCTTCCCTCCACCCCCTTCTACTCTCTCTGGAAATCAATGTCAATGGAAAGAATATCCTTAGGTGAGGATTTCAAAAATAATAATAATAAATAAAATATAATTTTTTTCAAAGTGTATTTCACTCATTTTAGAACCTTCTCCATAAACGAGGGTTTCTTAGTTTTGACACTAACATTTTGGGTTGGATAATTCTTTATCGTTCTGAGCATTCTACCAAAGGCCAGTAGCACCCAACCCCTTCCCAGCTGTAATAACTAAAAATGTTTCCAGAAACTGCCAAATGTCCCAAGAGCCAAAATCACCCCAGTTATAGGAGGAATTTCTCTTAAATAGAAAGCCTAGAGTAAAAAATAAAGGACACCAAAAATGGAAAACATATAGTTAATAGAGGTTTTTTTCCTATAAATTTCCTTAACAATGTACATGGCTATTTAAAGCAATTAATAAGTAATACTGGTCTATAATTATAACATTACTAGAGTCCCGGTGCATGAAATTCGTGCACTGGGGAGGGAGGGTTCCTCAGCCTGGCCAGCGCCCTTTCACAGTCCAGGAGCCCTTGGAGGGTGTCCAACTGATGGCTTAGGCCTGTTCCCCACTCTCAGTCAGACATCCTTAGCATATTAGGCTTTTGTTATATAGGCTAAACTTGCTTAATTAGACTTGCTTTCTGATTTAGCTAAACTTTTTCCAGCCCAATGAAGCACTCCAACTTCTGTTTCAGGTAATTGTCAGCAACACAGCAGTAAATATCAACACGAAGCAGATTATTATTGTAGATCACGCAGGGAGAACAAAGGGTAAAATATTTAACTGCAGCAGTGTTTGACTATATTCTGCACAGTAAGAAACCTGAAGTCATTTTCAATGTCCACCATTTCTTCTTTTCAGTCGGGTCAAATTTCTAAGCTTTCTAAATCTCCGTTTTCTGGCTAATGAAAAGAAAATAGGATTCCACCGAGTCTCCTATCTACCTACTCCAGGACTTCTGTGAGGATCAAATGAGATGAGGCACGGGAAAACACTTCATAGACATTTGGTTAAAGTGTGAAATATTTCCACCTGGCTATAAAGCAAGTCGTGTTCCTGGGCTAAAGAAACTCCAAGGAGGCTAGATGCTAGGGAGAGGAAGCCAGGCATTGCTACGTAGGTCATTACCCGGTGCCAACAGCCACCGTTTCCAAGCTGGGCTGGGTTGTGGGCTGCATTTTGCACCATGGGGTCTCAGCAGCATCAGCTGTGATTTCATGGGCTGTCGCTCTGGGGTGGTGGCAGGGCCTGTGTTCCACTTTGGGGAAGCCGAGTGTTGCTTTGTGGGTGCCAGGTCTGTGGTGCCATTTCTTTGTAAATGGCCAGTGCGTGTCATGGTAACTCCTGCATTGAGAGTCTGCTCCCTGGTGGTCAGTGCACATCATAGCGACCAGTCGGACAATCAGACACTTAGCATATTAGCCTTTTATATCTATAGACTAGAGGCCCGGTGCACAAACATTTGTGCACTCGAGGGGAGGGGTCCCTCAGCCCAGCTTGCCCCCTATCACATACTGGGAGCCCTCAGGGGATGTCCTACTCCCTGCTCCCTGCTCCCCTTGGGGATAGGACCTAAGCCACAGTCTGGCCTCCCTTTGTGGGAGGCGACCGGGCTGATCAGGGGAAGGCATCAGTCCCATCACCTCGCTGTTGTAGCCACTGCCAGTCACCGCAGCCACCAAGGTGTTTTCATCAACACGGACTCCAGTCCCTTTACCATGAAAAAATGACAACTTTCTTTAGGCATTTTCAAGATGTGTCTTTCATAGGATATGACATTTCTTTCTTTTTTTTTTTTTAATCCTCACCTGAGGATATGTTTCCATTGATTTTTTGAGAATGTGGAAGAGAAAGGGAAAGACAGAGAGAAACATCTAAATGAGAGGAACACTTTGATTGGTTGCCTCCTGCATGAGCCCTGACCTGGGCCCAGGCCAGGGAGGAGCCTGCAACCTAGGTACATGCCCTTAGTCAGAATTGAACCCAAACCCAGCAGTGGGCAGGCCGAGGCATTATCCACTGAGCAAAACCAGCTAGGACAGGATATGACATTTCTTAACCCTCCAGCAGCAGACCTTCCTTTTTTTCTCCAGGAGTGTGGTAAAAAACCCTAGATCACCTATTTGGATTCTTATTACCCAAGTTACTAAGAATATTACCAGTGGCATACAGGTAGCTAAGCCAATGAGCAGTCAGAAAAGGTGTTTCCTCTGTAGTTCACACCAATTGCGTTAGGCCTGGGCAGGGGACCCCCAGCTCCCGCAATTGCGGGCTCCGCTCCTGCTCCCCACTATCGCTGGCTCTCCCCCTGCTCCCCACCATCGTGGCTCTGCCCATGCCCAGGCCTTACACTTCTGACCGAGGCGTCAGGCCTGGGCAGGGGACCTCTCAGCTCTGATTGTAGGCTCTGATAGCCGATAGCCACTGGGAGCCTACGTATGCAAATTAACCGCCATCTTTGTTGGCAGTTAATTTGCATATCCTGCTGATTAGCCAATGGGAGGCATAGCAAAGGTACGGTCAATGTCTATTATTAGATAGGATGTGACAGTTATCACACAAAGGATAGGGGAAGTATGTTCAATGTTCATATATTTCATATATTTTATATGAAGTATTACAATATTACCTCTAAAAAGACTGTGGAATATTAAAGATGCATATTGTAATCCACTACAAAATAATGCAGAAAAGGAAACAAAAAAACAAATGAAGCTCACAAGGGACAATTAGCAAAATGGTAACCTAAATCTGACTACTTATATTAAGTGAAAATTAACTAACATAAAATAGCAAAAGTGTATACTGTCTACACGAAATACATTTTATTTTTTTAATATATTTTTATTGATTTAACCCTACCAGACCGCTGTACCGATTTTTTGGTAATTTCCGAATCTGCCACTATACCGCTGTACCTAATTTTCGGTACTTTGCCTAGTACATGAAAAAAATGCATCACAAACTAAAAATAACCAACCAATCGTGGTCAAACCTCATGGTTAGCCATTACAAATGTCTGCCCCCATGTGTTTGAATTGACTTTGTGTGGTTTGACGTGAAAAAATTATGAAAATTCACAATGAAACGAGCGGCTGATGAACCAAGCACTTCAACAGGAAAGCGAAGTAGGTCTAGGCTTATCACAGTCCAACAGGTGATCAATACTTTGGTTGATTCAGACTCTGAGGAGTCAGAATTTCATCAAGAATACGTTTCCAGTTCAAGTGACACAGACAATGAGAGCTTGAGTGATGAGGAGAATCTTGAACCTTATAGATCTAGAGCTAGATCGATAGTAAGAGAAGGGGGGCGTGTCCCTCAAACAGCTGATGGGGGAGATCTAGGTGGTGATGAAGGTTGGACAAGGAATTCTGTATCACCAAATACAGATCTGAATTTCACTGAGGATGGAAAAGGCCCAGTGAACATTCCTGGATCTATCACAGAGGAGAGTGAACCAATTGACTTTTTATCCTTGTTTTTGGATGATACTTTCTGGCAAAATTTGACAGAGAAAACCAACCTCCGGGCCCACCAATTGCATATAGCAAAGCCCAACTCCTACAATGCCAAAAATTTCAAGGATGCCACAGTGGAAGAAATGAAGGCTTTTCTTAGACTGAGGATCTCTATGGAATACTTATGTATAAAGCCCAGCTATTGGGATTATTGGACAAATGAGGGCTCTGACTTTGTTGGGTTTACTCCCGGATTTTGAAATGTTATGACTCGAGACAGATTCTTGGCCCTTTGGAGTTTTTTACACATAACTGATGAGGAAGACACAGATATCGATAAGACAGATAGAATATATAAAGTTAGGCCTTTCTTGGAAAGTCTGCTCCCCAAGTTTCTCCACTTGTATCTGCCAAAGCAACATTTGAGCCTAGATGAGGGGATGATCCCGACAAAAAACCGCTTGGCCATCAAGCAGTATATCAAGGATAAGCCCACAAAGTGGGGCATCAAGTCTTTCCTTCTCTGTGAAGGTGAGACTGGCTACATTTTGAATGCAGAAATCTACACTGGTGCTGCACCAATGCCTATAAAAGACTTGGGCGCAGTAGGAAACACAGTCGTTCGTCTCCTGACCTCATGTGCAATGGAAAATAAATCTCATGTGCTTGTCATGGAATGGTTCTACAACTCTGTAACCCTTGCTAAATATGCACTGTCAGAATTACAGTCAAGGGCACATACCTCGATTGCAGGTTTAATCCCCAGCCCTGGTCAGAGCTCATGGGGGAGGCAACCAAACGATGTGTCTCTCACATCTATGTTTCTCTTTCTCTGTCTCCCCCTTCACTCTCTCTAAAAATCAATAGAAAAATGTTCTCGGATGAGGATTAACAAAAAAAAATAAAAATTAAAAATAAAGACATAAACAGGCCAAAAATAAAAGGATAAAAAATGACATTGCAAATAGACAAGAAACATAGAAGGCTACAATGTCTATATTAACATACAAAGTAGACTTCAAGACAAAGTGTATTGCCCTGGCCGGTTTGGCTCAGTGGATAGAGCATAGGCCTGCGGACTCAAGGGTCCCAGGTTCGATTCCGGTCAAGGGCATGTACCTTGGTTGCGGGCACATCCCCAGTGGGGAGTGTGCAGGAGGCGGCTGATCAATGTTTCTCTCTCATCGATGTTTCTAACTCTCTATCCCTCTCCCTTCCTCTCTGTAAAAAATCAATAAAATATATTTAAAAAGAAAGAAAGAAACATTTCCTGCTTTAAAAAAAAAAAAAAGTGTATTATCAGAGATAAAGGGAGATATTTCATAAAGATTAAAAAGCTAATTTAGCCCTAGCTGGTTTTGCTCAGTGGATAGAGCGACAACCTGCGAACTGCAGGGTCCTGGGTTCAATTCTGGTCAAGGGCACTTGCCCTGGTTGCAGGCTCAATCTCCAGTGGGGGACGTGCAAGAGGCAGCCAATCAATTATTCTCTCTCATCACTGATGTTTCTATCTCTCTCTACCTCTCCCTTCCTCTCTGAAATCAATAAAAAATATATTTTAAAAAAGCCAATTTATCATAATATATGAGCATTATAACTATGTATGCATCTAATAACAGAGCTTCAAAATATAAGAAGCAAAATTTGACAGAATTAAAGGGAAAAACAGACAGTTCCACAATCATAGTTGTGAAGATTTCAATACCCTTCTCAGTAAATGATAGATCAACTAGACCAAAAAAAAATTAGTAAAGAGAAAGATGTTCTGAACATCACCAACCACCTTCATCTAATTGACATTGATAGATCATTACATACAACTGAAGAACAAACATTCAAGTGCACAAGGGTTCTTTACCAAGACCATACACTAGACCATAACCCAATTCTCAATAAGTGTAAAAGGATAAAATTCATAGGAAGTGTATCCTTTGACCACAATGAAATTAAATTAGAAATCAATAACGAAAGAGATCTGAAAAATCCTCAAATATTTAAAAATTACACTTCTAATATAATCCTGGATTCAAACAAGTAAACATACAAGAAATGAAAAGTATTTCAAACTGAATGATAATGAAAATGCAATATATTAAAGTCTGTTAGATACAGTAAAAACAGTATTTAGAGGGAAACTTAAAGTTTTAAATGCTTATAGTACAGAAGAAGGTACAAAAATTTGTGACCTAATTTTCAACCTTAAGAAACTGGGGGGGGGGGGGGGGGGGCGGGGCTTGAGAAAGACTATTTTTCACCCTTAAGAACCGGGGGGGGGGGGGGGGCTAGAGAAAGAACAAAGAAAACAAAAAGTAAGTAGAAATCAGAAGAAAAGTAGAAATAAAATACAAAACAGATAATAGAGAAAAATTTTAAAACCAGCAGTTAGTTCTTTGAAAAAAATTAATAAAATTGATTATCCTCTAGCTTAGGAAGGATGGAAGAAAAAGAGTAAAAGGAAGGGAGGAAAGAAAAAGGGAGGGAAAAAGGAAAGAAATGAAAGATAAAATGAACGTATAAGGAATGAAAGATAAAATATTCCTAAAGATCTTCACATATTACAAGTATTACAGGGGAATATTATAAATAACTTTATGCCAATAAATTCTATAACTTAGACAAAAACTGAAACAAAAAATCTGAATAGCCCACACCTAATAAATAATTTTAATTTATTATTAGAATCTTCCCACAAAGGAAACTACAGACCCAGACAGTTTTACTCTTACGTTCTGTCAAACATTTAAGGAAGAAAAAAACCTCAATCTTATGCAATCTCTTTCAGAAAATAGGAGAAGAGAGAATACTACTTAACTGATTTTATGATACCAAAACCAAAGACATTACAAGAAATTAAAGCACAGCCCACGTGGTTCAGTGGATTGAGCATCATCCCATGCACCAAAAGGTCGCTGATTTGATTCCAGGTCAGGATACTGGGTTGCAGTTCGATCCCCAGTAGGGGGTTTGCAGGAGGCAGCCGATCAATGTGATGTTGCTCTCTTATCAATGTTTCTATCTCTCTCTTTCCCTTCCTCTTTCTCTAAAAATCAATAAAAGCATATTTAAAAAAAAGAAAATGATAGACCAACTAGAGGCCCAGTGCATGAAATTCATGCACTGGAGGTGAGCAGGGGCCCCTCAGCCTGGCCTGCACCCTCTCCAATCCGGAACACCTTGGGTGATGTCCGACTGCTGGTTTAGGCCTGATCCCTCTCACAATCCGGGACTGCTGGCTCCTAACTACTTGCCTGCCTGGCTGCCTGATCGCCCCTAACTGCTCCCCTGCCTGCCTGATCGCCCCTAACAACCTCCCCCTTCTGGCCTGATTGCCCCCAACTGCTCCTTTGCCATCCTGATAGCCTGTAACTGCTCCCCTGCCAGCCTGATTACACCTAACCGCCTCAGTCTCAGGCCCCGCACTCAGGACCCGGGCTTCCCTCCCTCTGGCCAGCCACATAGACCTGGGACCTGGGTTGACTTCACCCGGGCCAGCTGCAGGCGCCTGAGACTGGGGGCGGCTGCGCCCAGGACCGGCTTCACCTGGGCCCAGCTTTGTCAGGAAGGACGTCCAGGAGGTCATCTGGAAGACATCTGGTCTAATTAGCATATTACCCTTTTATTAGTATAGATAATCAACATCGATACAAAAAAATCCTTAACACAGTATTAGCAAATAGAAGCCAGCAATATATAAAAAGAATACTATAGCATGACCAAACATCTATTCCTCATAAAACTCTCAACAAATTGGGAATAGATTCCTCAATATGATAAGGATCAGCTACAAAAACCTACAGCTAACATTATGCTTATTATTAAATATTAAAGAGGCAAAATTAACTTATGGTGAAAAATATCAGAACAGTAGTGGCTTCCAGAGACTGGGGGTGGGGAATAACTGGGAAAAGGCATGAGGGAACTTTCTAGGATTGTTGGGGTCCAGCCCCAGCAGGTCCAGGGGTTCCCAAAGGTGTGGACGGAGTCGGCCAAAAAGGAATGACATGGAGACAGCGTTCAGTTGATCAGCATCCTAGTCAGGTTCTCTAGCCAGGTTCTCCAGCCAGGTTCTCCAGCCTAGTTCTGTCTTTATTCTCCTGTTACATCTGTATTTATACCAGTTGATTTTAATCCTATCCATTTTATTCCAAAGGTTAGGGCGTTTCTTATCTCCATTCCAAGGTCACTACTCTACTGTTCTGTTAAGCTACAAGGAAGTAACTGAAGGAGATTATCCTAAGTAAAGATTATGTAGCTTAAGCGTGATTGTTCATAGTTAAAGTGATTAATTACCTGCCTGGCACTTAGTTAAGCGGTTTTATTCCCTTCCTTAGTCCTGTTAATCCCTAACTCCAGGGGAAAATCCCCACCTGGGGAAACAACCTTTCTTGGAGAGGTGACCTTGGTTAAAACACATAGCACTAAGAAGGGGAGCAAACATATTAAGAACAGTATGCCATATACGCCAGGTCCCTTGAAACATATGCTGTGCAGATGTTTCTTCCCTGCAGCAACTGTGTCAAGCAGCAAGGATAAACCGGCCTCCAGCATAGGATGATGGTAATATTCTCTCTCTTAGAGGTTTGGGTTACACAGGTGAATGTCTATGTCAAAATTCATCAAATGGTATATGTAAGATTTGACATTTCACTGTATAAAACTTTATCTCAAAGAAAAAAACTACTGAACTGTAATTAATGACATTTATGCTGAGGTCTTTAGTGGTAAAATATACTATCTATAACTTTCTTTGAAATATATCAACATAAAGATGGATTGATTGATGAACGAAGAGATTGTTAGATGGGTAAATTTGAAATAATATGAAATATTGGTCTCTATCTTCTGGTTTCTGACACAGAGCTCCAAAAACCATTGTATACAGGGGTGCTAGAATATTTTGTTCTAATATTTAGTTTTTGACCCATTTCCCTGGCCACTGCTACTTCTGTACATCTTTCATTTTATCATCAGCCTCTCCCAAGTTCAGTGTACCATTAGCTTCTTTCAGCTTTTGACCTCATTTTCCACTCAGAGATGAGGTGCACAGGAACAATGCCCAGGCAAAGGCAGCAAGCCAGCCTCAGGATCCATCTTTCTCTGTAATGCCACTGCACAGCCTACCCGGTGGGCCCCAGGCAGGCATAATAACTGAAGATGAAATATAATGCTCTTCTCTTGCTCCCTCCACTTCCCACTTCCCACTTCCCTGGGAGATGATGTTGAACAGTACCTGTGCAGGAAAATTACCTGGAAGCTTTTTGTTTGAGACTTGCCTTAGGCTCACTTTACCATACTTTCATGGTAGTAACTAATCTAAAACTACAAACCACTTTCAAAATAACTATGGGTGGTAACCCCAACTTACCAGCATAACTTGGTTGATTAACATTTCCTCCTTTTTCAATACACTGATGAACAAGATGAAAGTCATTGAGAAGAGCAGCCTTATACAGTAAATTCTCTCCAAAAATGTTTCTCCGGTTAATGAGAGAAAGAGGTATGTTATTCATCTTCATTTTTTCTAAAAAGAGGGAAGGAACAAAAGAAAACAAAAAATAGTAATCCTTATTTGAAAATCAGGAGGAATACAGATGACACAGTGAATCCAGTCATTGGAATAGATGTACACTGTACTATGAAAGAGTATTTAATCGGTTAACCCAACTATAACATCTACATGAAATAAGATGAAGGAGACAAACATTAATTTGAAGTTATAAATCATCTGAGCAGTTTATGTTGATTGAAACCCATGAAAGGTGCATATATGAGAAGATTAACAGGTTTTCTTTTCTTTTTAAACCTTTATTGTTGAGAATAAGTTTTTAATTTTTTGCTCCCTCTCTTCTCCTGGCACCACCATGACGTGCATGTTGGTACACTTGAAGTTGTATCTGAGGCTCCTTACACTATCCTCTTTTTTTTTAAATTGTTTTATTGCTTAAAGTATTACAAAGGGTATTACATATGTCTCCTTTTTTCCCCCGCCCTTAACATTTCCCCGGCCTCCCCTACCCACCAGTGTCTTATATCCATTGGTTATGCTTATATGCATGCATACAAGTCCTTCGGTTGATCTCTTACCACCCTCCCCTCCCACCCCTCAACCCTACCTGGCTTTCCTGCTGCAGTTTGACAGTCTGTTCGAGGCAGCTCTGCCTCTGTATCTATTTTTGTTCATAAGTTTATAATGGTCTTTCTTATCCATGAGTGAGTGAGATCATGTGGTGTTTTTCCTTCATTGACTGGCTTATTTCACTTAGTATAATGCTCTCCAGTTCCATCCATGCCGTTGCAAATAGTAAGAGTTCCTTCTTTTTTACAACAGCGTAGTATTCCATCGTGTAGATGTACCACGGTTTTCTAATCCATTCATCTACTGATGGGCACTTAGGCTGTTTCCAGATCTTAGCTATGGTGAATTGTGCTGCTATGAACATATGGGTGCATATATCCTTTCTCATTGGTGTTTCTGGTTTCTTGGGATATATTCCTAGAAGTGAGATCACAGGGTCAAATGGGAGTTCCATTTTTAGTTTTTTGAGGAAACTCCATACTGTCTTCCACAGTGGCTGCACCAGTCTGCATTCCCACCAGCAGTGCACGAGTGTTCCTTTTTCTCCACATCCTCTCCAGCACTTGTCGTTTGTGGATTTGTTGATGATTGCCATTCTGACAGGTGTGAGATGATACCTCATTGTTGTTTTGATTTGCATCTCTCTTATAATTAGTGACTTTGAGCATGTTTTCATATGTCTCTTGGCTTTCTGAATGTCCTCTTTTGAAAGGTGTCTATTTAGATCCTTTGCCCATATTTTGATTGGATTGTTTATCTTCCTTTTGTTAAGTTGTATGAGTTCCCTATAAATTTTGGAGATTAGGCCCTTATCAGATATGACATTGGCAAATATGTTTTCCCACGCAGTGGGCTTTCTTGTTGTTTTGTTGATGGTTTCTTTTGCTGTGCAGAAGTTTTTATTTTGATGAAGTCCCATTTGTTCATTTTCTCTTTAGTTTCAAGTGCCCTAGGAGCTGTATCAGTGAAGAAATTGCTTCGGCATATGTCTGAGATTTTGTTGCCTTTGGATTCTTCTAGAATTTTTATGGTTTCCCGTCGTACATTTAAGTCCTTTATCCATTTTGAGTTTATTCTTGTGTATGGTGTAAGTTGGTGGTCTAGTTTCATTTTCTTGCATGTATCTGTCCAATTTTCCCAACACCATTTATTGAAGAGACTATCTTGAGTCCATTGTATGTTCTTGCCTCCTTTGTCAAATATTAATTGAGCATATTGGTTCGGGCCGATTTCTGGGCTCTCTATTCTATTCCATTGATCTATATGTCTGTTCTTGTGCCAATACCAGGCAGTTTTGAGAACAGTGGCTTTGTAATACAGCTTGATATCTGGTATTGAGATCCCACCTACTTTGTTCTTTCTCAGGATCGCTGCAGCTATTCAAGGTCTTTTTTTATTCCAGATGAATTTTTGGAGAGTTCGTTCTAGGTCTGTGAAATATGCCGTTGGTATTTTAATGGGAAGTATGTTGAATTTATAGATTGCTTTGGGTACTATGGACATTTTAATGATGTTGATTCTACCAATCCAAGAACATGGTATGTTCTTCCATCTGTTTATGTCTTCCTCTATCTCTTTTTTCAACGTCCTGTAGTTTTCTGAGTAGAGGTCTTTTACCTCCTTAGTTAAGTTTATTCCTAGGTAGCTTAATTTTTTTGGTGTGATGGTAAATGGGATTTTTTTTTAGTCTCTCTTTCTGTAAGTTCACTATTGGTGTATAGAAATGCCATAGATTTCTTGGCGTTAATTTTGTATCCTGCTACATTGCCAAATTCTTTTATTAAGTCTAATAGTTTTTTGACGGAGTCTTTAGGGTTTTTTATCTATAATATCATGTCATCTGCAAATAAGGACAGTTTTACTTCTTCTTTTCCAATTTGGATGCCTTTTATTTCTTCTTCTTGTCTAATTGCAATGGCTAATACTTCCAGTACTATATCGAACAGGAGTGGTGAGAGTGGGCATCCCTGTCTTGTTCCTGTTCTTAGGGGAAAAGTGTTAGTTTTTGTCCATTGAGTATGATGTTGGCTGTGGGTTTGTCATATATGGCTTTTATTATGTTGAGGTATGATCCTTCTATTCCCACCTTGCTGAGAGTTTTTATCAAAAATGGGTGTTGGAATTACACTATCTTCTTATTTTTGGATTCTTTTTTTCTTTTTGTTGTTCTGATTGGGCATTTTTGGCTTCCTCATATTCCAAATCATTGATTTGATTCTAGGCATCATCTATTCTACTGTTGATTCTTCATTTCAGTTAGTGTATCCTTCATTTCTGACTGGTTCTTTTCTATGATTCCAATGTCCTTTGTCATGGTGTTTTAAGTTTCACTAAGTTACTTGAATTTCTTCCTAAGTTCCTTGAGCATCCTTATAACCATTGTTTTAAACTCCGTATCTGGTAGTTTGCTTGCTTCCATTTCATTTAGTTCTTTTTCTAGAGATTTCTCCCATTCTTTCACTGCAACATGTTTCTTTTTCTACACATTTTGCTGCTTCTCTGTGTTTATTTCTATGTATTAGGTAGAGTTGGTATGTCTCTCGGTCTTAATAGAGTGGCTTTGTGTTAGGTGTCCTGAGGGTCCAATGGCTCATCCCCTCAGTCACCTGAGCTGGGCACTTTAGGTGCATCCCTGTGTGGGCTGTGTGCACTGTGCTGTTGTAGTTGAGCCTTGACTGCTGTTGGCATCACCGAGAGGAATTGACCCCTAGGCCAATTGGCTGTGAGGACCAGCTGTGACTACAGCAGAAGAGCTGCTGTGCAGAAGTTGACCCTACAGAGCAGGACTTGCTTCAGTGGGGCTTTGGTGCTCACTGAGTCTGCCCCTTGAGTGTGTCACTAATGGAGGTGGTAGCATTGTAATCTGGCATGGTTTGAAGCTGTCCAATGGGTGCACTGACTCTGGGGCCTCCCAGGAGGTGCCAGTACCTTCATGGGGCCACCTGGCATAAGCTACAGAGTGATCTGCAGAAGGCTGCTACTTGTTTTGGGTTTGGAGGTACTCAGGAGAGGCCAAGCTCTGAACTAAGGCAGGCTGCTACTAGTGCCAGGTCTGGTACCACTTAGCAAGATGTATGGGGTGTACTGAGGTGGCTGCTGCTTGTTTGAAAGATTTTAGGAAAGTCTGTAGAGAGGAGAGTTGTATGGAAAAGCCACTGGAAACGGCTTGAATGAGCCCCCAAGTTGGGTAGGGTAGGATCTCAGGGAATCACCAGGATGGGATGAAAAGTGTGAACCCAGTTGATGGAGACTCAGATATGTCACGGCCTGTCGGTTCTGTTGGGGAAGGGCTCAGCAAAGGAACAGTGGCTCTGCCAGCACTTTTGTCTGGAAGAAAGCTTCTCCAGAAGCTTTTGCACTGATGCCAGATAATTAGTTACTCCCTTATGTCCCTGGTTCTTTTCAAGCTGCTGCCCCAATGAGGTAGCTCAGAGGGAGTAAGTCCAAATAAGTTAATGAGTGGGCCCTTTAAGAGGAACTGCCTGGGACTCCAGCAGCTTCCATGTCACTCAGGCACAACCCCTGATGGTTTTTACAGCCTGAAGTATGGGGACTTCTCTTCCCAGCTCTGGAACCCTGCACTAAGGGTCTGTTATGGTGCTGGGACAGCTCACTTTTCAGGGATGACCTCTATAGCCAATATATCCCTTCTATGTAATTAACATAAGTCAGACATCTAAGTTTTAAAAGGGTTCTAAAACTATTCTCTCCAATAAGTATAGAAAAAATACCAGCCTATGAGCCAAAAGTTCAGGATCAAGTCCTAATTATGCTACTGATGAGTTGTGCATAGCTGGGAAAAATCCTTAACCTACCTCCTTGAATTGACTCATCAGTAAAATGAAAACGTTGAGATAGATAATCTTTAAATCTTTTTTAGTACCAGAATTCTATGTTTCTGTAAGTAACTACTTAAAGAAATAAAATATTCCTCACCTTTCTGTCTCTTAATTTTTCCATTTTTCCAGATTTGTTCTTCACTCTTCAGTCTGGATGAATGCATATTCTTCCTTTTATCTTCAATCATTAAAGCAGTACCCTGCATTCTTGAAAAATAAATTTAAAAAAAATTATTTTTTTAAATTATTCTCATGTCCTCTATAACCATTCACAGAAACCTATATCAAATTCTAAATTTTTAAAACTCAAAGGTATTTTACTGAGCTGTTGCCAAGCAGCACAGCAATTTTAAATAAGGAGATGGCTCCTGAGAAAACAGCGGATAAATCTGTGGCAGGTATGCTAGTCATTATAGTTTCTAGCCTATTCTTTGTGGCACCTGTGTGCTTCTCTCCTTTAGGGGAAGTCACCTGCAAGTGTATTCTGAGTCTCTTGCCCCTCACTCTCCAAGTTGACATGTGACTATCCACTCTATTTACCTTCTAGGGAAAAAGAGGCAGGCTCTTTGCAAGAAAAAGAACTTGCCATGTGGTATGGCACTGATCAAAAGCTGCAAAATATTGGCATAAAAGCAGACATGCAGATAATAGGAAGCCTGGAAATAAACCTAATAATGCATCAATTAATTTATGATAAAGGAGCCAAGAATGTGCAATGGAGAAAAGATAGTCTCTTCAATAAATGGTATTGGGAAAACTGGACCACCACATGCGAAAGAATAAAACTGGATCATGATCCTACACCAGCCGTGGGCAAACTACGGCCCGCGGGCCGTATCCGGCCCCTTTGAAATGAATAAAACTAAAAAAAAAAAAAGACCGTACCCTTTTATGTAATGATGTTTACTTTGAATTTATATTAGTTCACACAAACACTCCATCCATGCTTTTGTTCCGGCCCTCCGGTCCAGTTTAAGAACCCATTGTAGCCCTCGAGTCAAAAAGTTTGCCCACCCCTGTCCTACACCATACCCAAAAATTAGCTCAAAATGGATTAAAGATTTGAGAGTATGACCTAAAACCATAAAGCTCATAGGAAAAAACATAGGGGTAAGCACTTTCACACTAGTCTTGGCAATTATTTTTGAAATTAACACCAAAAGCAAAGGCAACAAACACAAGCAAGTGGAACTACACAAACCTTCTGCAGAGCAAAGGAAACCATCAATAAAATGAAAAGGCAACCTACTGAATGGAAGAAAATATCTGCAAATCATATATCTGATAAGGGGGTTAAAATCCAAAATATATAAACATACAACTCAATAGCCAATAAAATATGATTTAAAAATGGGAGAGGTCCTGGCCAGTGCAGCTAAGCGGTTGAGCACTGACCCAGGAACCAAGAGGTCACCAGTTCAATTCCCGGTGAGGGCACATGCCCAGGTTGCGGGCTCAATCCCCAATAGGGGAGATGTAGGAGGCAGCCGATCAATGATGTTTCTCATTGATGTTTCAATCTCTCTATCCCCCTTTCTTCCTCTCTCTGGTACCACTTAGCAAGATGTATGGGGTGTACTGAGGTGGCTGCTGCTTGTTTGAAAAATCAATTAAAAAAACATATTTTTTAAATGGGAGAGGAATTAAAAGGACCTTTTTCAAAAAAAGACATCCAAATGGCCAATGGACGTACCTGAGTTATATGTAAAGGTACTCAACATTACTAACCATCAAGGAAATGCAAATCAAAACCACAATGAGATAGCACCTTATACCTGTGGAGTAGCTATTATCAAAAGACAAGAAATAGCAAGTATTGGTGAGCAAATAGAAAAGGGAATGGTTGTGCGCTGTTGTTAGGAATATAAATTGGTGCAGCCACTACAGAAAACAGAATGGAGTTTCCTAAAAAAAAATTAAAAATGAAACTACCACATGATCCAGCAATTCCGCTTCCAGGTATTTATCCAAAGGAAACAAAATCACGATCTTGAAAAGGTATCTGCACCTTCATGTTCATTGCAACATTATTTACAATAGCCAAGACATGAAAAGCAATCTATATTGTTGGATTACTTGATAAAGAAAATGTGGTATACATATAGAACAGAATATCATTCAGTCATAGAAAGGAAAAAAAAAACACCCTGCCTTTTTTTAAAAATTGATTTCAGAGAGGAAGGGAGAGAGGGAGAGAAGAAGAGAGGGAGAGAGAGGGGGAGAGAGAGAGAGAGAAAGAGAGAGAAAGAGAGAGAGACATCAATGATGAGAGAGAATCAATGATTGATCGGCTGTCTCCCACAAACCAGGCATGTGCCCTTGACTGGAATCGAACCTGGAACTCTTCAGTCTGCAGACCAATGCTTTATCCACTGAGCCAAACCAGCTAGGGCAAAACATGTCATTTTTTACAACATGGATGGACCCTGTGGGTATTGTTAAGTGAAATAAGTCAGACAGAGAAAGACAAAGACCATATGATCTCCTTATATATGAAATCTAAAAAAACCCCAAACTCATAGATACAGAGAACAGATTGGTGGTTGTAGGATCAGTGGATAAAATGGGTGAAGGTGGTCACAAGGTTTAGACTTCTAGTTATAACACAAATAGATCTTTGTATATGGTGACAAATAGTAGTGTAGTTTCATTTTTTTGTATGTGGTTTCCAATTTTCCCAGCACTGTTTATTGAAGAAGCTTCATTTTCTCCATTGTTTTTGGCTTCTTTGTAAAAAATTATTTGTTCACATTTATTTCTGGGCTCTCAATTCTGTTCCATTGGTCTACGTGTCTGTTTTTCTGCCAATACCATGCTGTTTTGATTAGTGTCTCAAACTAATTGTAGTATAATTTGAAGTTAGGGAGTGTGATACCTCCCACTTTATCCTTTTTTTTCTTTCTTTCAGAATTGCTTTGGCTATTTTGAGTCTTTTGTGGTTCCATACAAATATGGTGATTTTTTTTTTAGTTCTATTTCTTTAAAAAATAACATTGGAAGGCTGGCTGAGTGGAAATTCTACAACTAGAAGGAAAGAGAAAAGCATACCGAGACTCAGAGGAGGCGCAGTGCGGAAGTAAAATACTAAGGTGCGGAGGTGCACGCGGAGTAGGCTGGCGGCTGAGGGCACGGTTGTCGTTTTCAACCGGGAGGGAGTCTCAGGCTCTGAGCTCCAGTTCCAGGAGAGTCTCTAGGGACCCAGACTCATACAGGAGAAGCGGGACTATCTGGCATCGGTCGGAACTCGAGGGCAGCTTTCTCTCCGAGGGGCTTGCAGTGATTACCGGGACATTGAGAAGCAAAGCCTCTGAGGGCAGGACTAAGAGCAGCCATAACTGCTAGCCCAGCCCTGTTGATCCCCTGGGACCCGCCCCACCCAAGCCCTGCAGGGAGGCTTTTGCTGGATAGCCTCAGGCAAAGGCTAGATTAGCACCTCCCTAGAGATCCAGGAGCCAAGAAGCCCAGAGGTCAGAGTGGGACCATCCAGTTTGCAGCTCCGTGGAAACATAAAGGACACACTCAGGGGGCAGACTCAGTGAGCACCAAAGCCCCATTGAAGCAAGTCTTGCCCCTGTCTCCAGCACAGAAGTTCCCCCACTGCAGACACAGCTGATTCTCACAGCCAATTGGCCTGGAGGCCAATTAGTGATACCTACAACAATCAAGGCTTAACTACAACAAGACTGTGCACAAAGACCACAAGGGGGAGCACCAAGAGTGTCCTCCTCAGGTAATTGGGGAGGCTGAACCACTGGGCCCTAGAGGACACTTAGCACAGAAAACCACTGTATCAACACAGGGAAGCATAAAAAATGCGGAGACAAAGAAAAAGGACACAAATGACAGAAATGGAGGAAAGCAAACTACTGGATATAGAGTTCAAAACCACACTTTTAACGTTTTTCAATAATTTTCTAGAAACTGCCAATAAACTTAATGAGATCTACAAGAAATCTAATGAGACCCTCATTGTTGTGATAAAGGACCAACTAGAAATTAAGCATACATTGACTGAAATAAAGAATATTATACAGAGTCCCAACAGCAGACTAGAGGATTGCAAGAATCAAGTCAATGATTTGAAATACGAAGAAGCAAAAAACACCCAACCGGAAAAGCAAAATGAAAAAAGTATCCAAAAATACAAAGATAGTGTAAGGAGCCTCTGGGACAGCTTCAAGCGTACCAACATCTGAATTATAGGGGTGCCAGAAGATGAGAGAGAGCAAGATATTGAAAACCTATTTGAAGAAATAATGACAAGAAAACTTCCCCTGCCTGATGAGAGAAATAGACTTACAAGTCCAGGAAGCGCAGAGAACCCCAAACAAAAGGAATCCAAAGAGGACCACACCAAGACACATCATAATTAAGATGCCAAGAGCAAAAGACAAAGAGAGAATCTTAAAAGCAGCAAGAGAAAAACAGTCAGTGACCTATAAGGGAGTACCCATACGAATGTCAGCTGATTTCTCAACAGAAACTTTGCAGGCCAGAAGGGAGTGGCAAGAAATATTCAAAGTGATGAGTGCCAAGAACCTACAACCAAGATTACTTTATCCAGCAAAGCTATCATTCAGAATTGAAGGTCAGATAAAGAGCTTCACAGATAAGAAAAAGCTAAAGGAGTTCATCACCACCAAACCAGTATTATATGAAATGCTGAAAGGTATCCTTTAAGAAGAGGAAGAAAAAGAAAAAGGTAAAGATACAAATTTTGAACAACAAATACACATCTATCAACAAGTGAATCTGAAAATCAAGTGAATAATCTGATGAACAGAATGAACTGGTGATTATAATAGAATCAGGGGCACAGAAAGGGAGTGGACTGACTATTCTTGGGGGGGAAAGGGGTGTGGGGGATGCGGGAAGAGACTGGACAAAAATCGTGCACCTATGGATAAGGACAGTGGGTGGGGAGTGAGGGAGGAGGGTGGGGTGGAAACTGGGTGGAGGGGAGTTATGGGGAAAAAAGAGGAACAAATGTAATAATCTGAACAATAAATATTTAATAAAAAATAAAAAATACCATTGGGATTTTGATGGGGATTGTATTTAATCTGTATATTGCTTTGGGTAATATGGCCATTTTAACTATGTTGATTCTTCTAATCCACGCATATAGAATATCTGTCCATTTCTTTGTATCTTCTTTAATTTCATTTAATAATGTCCTGTAGTTTTCAGTGTATAGGTCCTTCCAGCTTTTGTTAATTTTATTCATAGCTGTTTTAATTTTCTTGCAACTGGAACTGTTTTTTCTATTTCTTTTTCTCAAATTTTATTGTTAGTATATAGGAATGCAATAGATTTTTGTATATCAATTTTGAAAGCAACAAATGAACAAATGAGAGAGAGACATATGTAATACTCTTTGTAATACTTTAAGCAATAAAACAAAATTTTTAAAAAAGAAGTAAGAGAGTTTTCTAGCTTAAAAAAAGCAACTGCAAGATAAAAATTCACCAATACTAAAAAGTAAAGTTCTTTACTTGGGGTAACTATACACTGACTCAATGTCCCAAGCATAGATTTATCTATAAGGTCTATAGCATACCTGGTAGAAAAATATAATTTCATATCATACCTGAAAGTCTCAGCTGAAGAGTTTTTTGCTTGACTCTCACAGTCAAGTATTGTGGGTAAAATCTTTTCTGGTGTCTTATACATGTCATCTTTGTGCTTTGTATATTTGCCTACTTTAATTCTGGATGATCTCCTTAACACAGATGGAGGGTCCTGGTCAGAGCTATTTTCCACTGGATTTGAATTTCTCTTATTATTTAGTGGATCACAAGAGATTACATTTTGATCAACCAATGTCTGCAATACAAATGGATTTGGATCTTCTAGAGTCTGTAATAAAATATAAATAAATACATATTCAAATAATTACAATGATACAAAAATATTAAAACTAGGAGAAATAAGTTTTATCTTGTCCTTTGAGTACATGAAAATGCCTCTTACAAGTTGAAAGTATAAAAACCCAGACATATGTGAATATAATGAAAATGTATGTAATCCTACATAATAAAAGAGAAACATGCAAATTAACCATCCCTCTGCTATGCTCAAGCCACGCCCACAAGCCAATCAGGAGCGAGTAGGCAAATTAACCCAACTAAGATGACAGCAGCCACGGAGCTGGAGTGAGCAGGAGGCTTGGGCTGCCCCCGGTGATGGAGGAAGCCAAGCTTCACACCTGCCCTGGCTGGCCCTTGGCTCCGCTCAAGGCTACAAAGTTTCAATTATAGAAGATAAATAAATCCCAGATACCTGCTTCCAGCTGGCCGTGGCCTCTGCTCAAGGAGGGGCTGGGACCTGGGCTCAGCCGGACCTGCCGCTCAATCAAGGCTACAAAGTTTCAATTATAGAAGATAAATAAATCTCAGGGAAAAAAATAAAAAATAAAAAAAGGAAAGGCTAGGAGCTTGGGTCTCCGGGGGGCATGGCCAGCCTGAAAACGGCCATCAGCTCCTCACCCAGGCTGACCAGGCACCCCAACAGGAACCCCCACCCTGAAGGGGCTGTGGAAAGCCTGAAAACAGCCCTCAGCCCCTCACCAGGCTGGCCACACCCCCATGGGGTGAGGGTCCCCGCTGGGGGGCTTGGCCAGCCTGCAAACAGCCATCAGCCCCTCACCCAGGCTGGCCAGGCACCCAAGCGGGAACCCCACCCTGATCCGGGACACCCTTCAAGGCAAACCAGCCGGCCCCCACCCGTACACCAGGCCTCTATCCTATATAATAAAAGGGTAATATGCAAATTGACCCTAACAGCAGAACGACTGAGAATGACTGGCCACTATGACACACACTGAACACCAGGGGGCAGACACTCAATGCAGGAGCTGCCCCCTGGTGGTCAGTGCACTCCCACAGGGGGAGCTCTGCTAAGCCACAAGCCAGGCTGATGGCTGCCAGCACAGCGGTGGTGGCGGGAGCCTCTCCTGCCTCCTCAGCAGCACTAAGGATGTCTGAATGCAGCTTAGGCCTGCTCCCTGCTGGCAAGTGGACATCCCCTGAGGGCTCCCAGGCTGCCAGAGGGATGTCTGACTGCCAGCTTAGGCCCAATCCCCCGGGCAGCGGGCCTAAGACAACAAGTGGACATCCCCTGAGGGGTCCCAGACTGCGAGAGGGCACAGGCCGGGCTGAGGGACGCCCCCCAAGTGCACAGATATTTGTGCACTGGGCCTCTAGTCCTATC